CTCTCTCTCTCTCTCTGCCCCTCCCCTCCCCTCCCCTGCTCACACTCTGTCTCTCTGTCTCTCAAAAATAATAAATAAACATTAAAAAACAAAAAAGAATGCTCACCTACATACACAGTGGGAATTTAATGACACGTAGAGTTAGGTGGTCAGCAAAAGTTAACAGACAAACTTAAAGATGTGAAAGAGTAGAGAATTTGAGAAGAAAGGCCATTCACACATGCAGTGGTTGCTGGTCAACTGGTCACCAACAGGACCAGGAACCCAGGAACTTGAGTTAGAGCATTAAGTTTCCGCTGAAGGCATTACAGGAATCAAGGCTGTTTGGGAGAGAAGACTTGAAGTCCAATCCACAGGAGTCAGAGACAGTGATCAAGATACAAGATTAAGATTGGTGGCGTATGATTAGAACAGAAGTGGGTCCACACTTAACTCGGGAGGGGAGCAGGCACAGGTGTCTTGAGTGAGTGGCTGGTGCCAGCAGTGGCCGGCGGCTGCTGCTATATGGCACGCAGGTGACTCTTTATTTGCCTTGCCCTGGCTGTGCCACGGCAAAGATCCAAAGAACAGGACCGCAGCAGGACACAACACCTGCCTCCTGTGCTTCAGAGAATGGAGATGGCCTGAGCATCATCTCTGCTCGTCCACATCAGTTAAGGGTAACGGGCACCAAAAACAGCTCTGGCTAGATCTTTCTGTGGCCAGTTTCTAGGTCCACTCAGATTGTATTCGTAACATGAATGGGACTTGAGACTGGTTGCAATTATGAACCCTTCATTCACTGTAACCGGGAGGGCTTGCCATTCATTCACTGTAACGAGGGCTTGCCGGCTCGGTAGCCAAGTTCTACTGGAACCCTGATAAAGGAAGGAAGGGGAGAAGAGCACGGGGTTCCATGCATATGCAATCTTTAGTAGTAAAACAAGCCTGCGGAATCTAAGCAAGATACATCCATTATGTTCATGCTCTAAAAAAGAACACGGCTTTTGAAAAACGAGAGTGTGAGGTTCTAGGACATCCATCTGAATTGTTTAGTTTGTAGGAGTGACGCCATCTTTAAAAGTGCGGGAATACCTTTTTAACAGCGAGGAAAGTTAAAGGGACCTAACTTTCCAGAAACATTTCCCATTATTTGTTACCTTAAAGAGTGTTTCCTAGCTACGTCCCTAAAACACATACACAACAGACACACACAAAATCATATTAAAGTAGGCTTTTAATCAGATTCTTCCACACTAAAATTCTCTGGGGAAGATTTTAAAAAAGATGGCATTTTGCCCAGTGAGCTCCTTCCCTAAACCTACAGCTTCAGATGGTCAACACTCAAGAAGACTGAAATAAGAACCATAAAAGCCCTAAACTACAGCTGATCCTGGAACAACACAGACCTGAACTTTGTGGGTCCACTTACCTGTGGATTTGTTTTCAACAAACACAGTATAATACTGTGAATGTATTTTCTTTTATGTTTTTCTTAATACCATTTTCTTTTTTTCTGGCTAACTTTATTGTAAGAATACAGTATATGATACGTATAATATACAAAATATGTGTTAACTGACTGTTCATATTATCCTTCAGGCTTCCGGCGAACAGCAGACTATTAGTAGTAGTTAAGTTTTGGGGGTTCCAAAGCTAGACGCAGATTTTTCGACTGCGTGGGGTGTGGTGCCCCTAACACCTGCATTGTTCAAGGGTCCACCGTATTTCACTGAGGATATTATGGTCTAGAATATGAATGATGGGGTGCCTGGGTGGCTCAGTCGGTTGAGCATCCAACTTCAGCTCAGGTCATGATCTCACAGTTTGTGAGTTCAAGCCCTGCGTCAGGCTCTGTGCTGACAGCTCAAGAGCCTGGAGCCTGCTTCTGTTTCTGTGTCTCCCTCTCCCTCTGCCCCTCCGCCACTCATGCTCAGTCTCTGTCTCAGAAATAAATAAACATAAAAAAAATTATAGAATATGAATGATGATACTGAACAATTTCTATAGGTGGCTCAGGAAACAACTGAGTTCCTTACTTCTCTCCAACTCTAGGGAAATACCCACTATAACAAGAGTTGGAACATTCCTTATTGTTTTAAGTTTATTTATTTATTTTGAGAGAGAGAGAGAGAGACAGAGTGTGTGAACAGGAGAGGGGCAGAGAGAGAGAGAGAGAGAGAGAGAGAGAGAGAGAGAGAATCCCAAGCAGGATCCACACTGTCAACACAGAGCCCTACTCAGGACTTAAACCCACAAACTGTGAGATAGTGACCTGAGCAGAAATCAAGAGTCAGATGCTTAACCAACTGAGCCACCCAGGAGCCCCAAGAGTTGGAACGTTTAAAGAAATCAAAGTCAATTCAACTATGGCAAATCCATAAAAACGTGACTAACTTGCCTGCCATTAGCTCACTAGTTTTACACAGTCCTCCTCACTGGCTCTCCCATTTAACAACTTCGGATTCAAACTTTCATTTCTCTGGGTTATTTTGCGTTTACTGCATACTGAAAAATTTATTCGCTCCTTTAAATAACAGCTGACAAATAGATCTTAAGCACTAAAGTGCACTGTAAAGGGAACTGCAACTTGGAATACAAATGGAATCAAATTAATGCTGGCAAATGGTGCCAGATTGCTAACTGCGGAGGCTGAATTTGGAGTGGCAGACAAGCAGAAGACCGACTATACTTTATGATATGTTTATGTGCTCCTTTCATTCTGCAAGCACACAAACTCTTTTTTTGTTATTCCTACCCAGGCTGGTGAAAACAGAAGGCAACACGTATTATTAGCCGCACTCTACTAACGAAGTTTGAATCATTTATCTGGAGCTGAAACCTCTAGTGGGGAGCAGAATTTTCCGACTGGCTAATGCTAAAGGACCGGAAAGATCAGTGGCCCCACTACAACGCTTGATTCTTTTGAACGATTTGCTCGTGGTGCTCCCAGGTACCCCCACCAAAACATTACCCGGCTTAAACCCAGCTTGCTCGGGGAGAACAGATACCTTATTTAGGAAAAGAAAAGTGCCCCCTCAAAATGTCCTTCAGAAGTAATCCCTGATTTTATTTTCTTTTAAAGTTTTTTTACGTTTATTCATTTTTGAGAGAGAGAGAGACAGAGTGTGTGGAGGGGAGGGGCAGAGAGAGAGGGAGCGAGACACAGAATTCGAAGCAGACTCTAGACTCAGAGCTGTCAGCACAGAGCCTGAAGCGGGGCTCGAATTCACCAACCGTGAGATCATGACCTGAGCCAAAGTCGGACATTTAACCGACTGAGCCACCCAGGCACCCTAGTAATCCCTGTTTTTAAAGAGAACTCTAACATAAAACTGTGTGCCCCACAAAGAATACCTCAATATAGGAAAGCTCTTGGGGAAAAACAATTTAGGCCACATATTACCACCCAGAATTTGCGTAGTTTGT